CAATTTGAAAATATTTCAAATAGGTTTACTAAAAAGCAAATAGAAGATTCTATAGGACTTAAAGATGGAAAAAGCAGCTCATCTGTAAAGGAACAAGAACGGCATGGTGCATAATTCTCGTCTGCCACCCCTCTTGCCAGAAGGCACTGAAGCAGGGCATTGTTTCCATGAATTCTAGACTGAAGTATCCCATCATCATGTCATGAGGACAGGGAAAAGTCTTTCAGACATAAAAGTACTTTGCTTTCCACACACCTTTTTGGAGGTTACTTGAGGATGCGTACCAAACAAAGGCAGTGCACCAAGAAAGAAAAATCAAAGTCTTAAGTGAACAGAGATCCAACCAAGGTCAAAGGAGCTCTTTAACTGATGGCTGTGCAGAGTCCCCGAGAACAATCTGCTGCAATGGGACAGGAGGCTGAGGGATTGGGGAAGTATTCAGAGTGAGGGTAGAAGACACAAAGCCCAAAGCCAAGAAAGTTAACTGAGAGTGGAATAGTTTAAAATTTGATTGAGGCAGATATGAAAATACAAACTTAAACACTATTAGTCTTTCTAAGAGCAAACAAAATCTAATTATAAAATCATATAGCTACAATATATACTTGAGCTTTGTGGTGAATAGTTATATAGCTTATAATGATGTAAACAGTATTGATTTTGAACTTTTAGACTTAAACTACAGAAAAAGCATTTAATACTAAACTATGGTTAGGGAATGAAATCTAAGTGCTGATAAGTCTTGACCAGGCAAAAACAAAGGAGCAGATGGTTTAAATGATGAAAGGGGGAAAAAAGCAATTAAAGGGAAGGATAAAGAAATATGATACCATTTTTAGGTGAAAACAAAAAAGGCAATTTAGGCATATACTACAAGGTGATAAGCAACAGGTGGGGCATTGAATTCTTTTGTCTGTTTGTAGACTATGTCACCCATCTATTTGTTGGTATATTCTTACTCCTTATATTGCTTTCTATCATTCTGTTCGATTCTTCTGATAAACCCATATTTTCAGGGGAGGCGTTCAGCCTTTTATACATTATTTACAAAATTGGCTAGTCATTAAAAATTATTATCTTTCACTATTTTATCCATATATAATGTACTTTTTTAGTAGTCATCCCCATTACCCTCTTTTCTCCCCACCCTGTGAACCCCTTCCTCCCCAGAAGTCCATTCTCTAGTCTCATGTTGCCTGTTGCTGATACAGAAAATTTTGGCTCATTATGTTGGTTATTGAATCAACATTTAGTTTGCTCTAATAGTGCTGTCAGCCTATGAATAATTTAATTTAGTACAGTTTCCTTCTTGGTTATATGTTATTTATGTGGATTCCCAAGTCTTGTGTTTTGAAAAAATTACATTAGGTATCAGAGCTTATGGTGAGCTAAATATATGATAGTTGGTAAAGGAAAATTTACTTTCAGTAACAGCTCATTCAAAAAACTTATGCATATGCAACCTTGTAATAAACATTAACAAAAGCAGTAAAAATCTTAATAAAATATGGATACAGTTAAAACGACATACTTAATATAGCCAGGCGTGGTAGTGCACGCCTTTAATCCCAGCAGAGGTAGGTGGATCTATGTGAGTTCAAGGCCAGCCTGGTCTGCATAGTGAGTTCCAGGACAGCTGGGGCTACAGGGAGACCCTGTCTCAAAAAGACCAAAAAAAAAAAAAAAGACATACTTAATTTCTACACATTAATGTTATATCAAATACAGGTCTTTCTGTGAATACCAGAGTTGAACGTGGTTCCTTGGAAAGTGGTAGAGAAGAGGAAGCTGTTTAGTGTTGGAGGCAAAGGCCAAGTGCATTGAGGATGGTGGCCATTGAACAGGAAGTCAAGATAGGCAGGTGGCCAGCAGAGCTAAGAGAAGAACCTAGAATGATGGGCGCTTGTCAGCCCTCAGCTTCTTTTGTGGCTTGTGCTCAGTTCATTTACTTTTATTTTCAAATCTATACTTTTCCCTCCCAGGAGATTATTTTGGTAAGTTTGTTTTAATGTATTGAATTGGTAGATGTGTTTTTCTCTTAGCTCAATTGAAATGAGAAGGCTCTTTATCTTTCTTTAAATAAAATAAATTAAAAAAATAAAAGTCTTGTAAACCATTTTTCAAGTGTCAAAGTGTCACTTTTCAAAAGTTGCTATAGGTCGTTGTAGTTTTGATATAAAGCAACCTTTGCTTTATGGTTCTTAAAAGTATCTTGCAAAGCCTTCTGGGCTGACATTTTTAAATCACCATGTAAATCTGCCTGACAGGTGGGCCCTCCACCCCTCCCTCCCTCCCTCCCTCCCTCCCTCATAAAATAAAGCATGGATAAATGTTCTGTCTTTTACTTTTTCAACACCTGGTTCTAGTTTCTTGCTGTTTTAGTTAATGGGAACTAGGAAACTTTATTCAAGTCATTAATTTCTCATGGTAGCATATTTATTAGTCAAATTAGTTGATTTCCATTTGTTCTTTGTAAGGTTGTGGTTGAATTTTTAAAATATCACAAATTTATGTTTTAAAGCACCTATGTGAAATACTCTTTTGCTCAGTTCCAGTTCATATGCTGTTCCAGTTACAAAAGAGGTCTACTTTTGTGATGTATAATAATATAAATGACGTGGAACTGGCATGCGTGTATAAGGAGAGGCTGGACCATGAACTAGAGCGGCAGTGCTTAGTAACAGCTATCCTTGCAGTGTAGACTTCCATTGGTATTTCCTATTAAGAAACATTTTATTCCTTTAGGTCACACATTTTATGGAAGATGGCATTTCCTAAATGTGATGACTGAGTCTCAGCGATGCTAACAATTAAGATTTGACTTTGTTTTCTAATTAAAGACTCCCTTAACTTTAAAAGAAGCATATGGTAAGACTGGAGTGTGACTTGCCTAGCATGAGTGAGACCCTGGGTTTCATCCCTAACACAGTACACACAAAAAAGACATCATGTAGTTATTACAATACATTTTTTATTTTTTTGGTCTTTTTGAGACATGGTCTCCCTGTAGCTCCAGCTGTCCTGGAACTCACTATGTAGACCAGGCTGGCCTTGAACACAGAGATCTGCCTTCCTCTGCCTCCCAAGTGCTGGGATTAAAGGCATGTGCCACCACGCCCAGCTTATTTTTAAATTTTATATGTGTGTTTTGCCATGTTACAGTAATTTTATTTTTTGAGACAAGGTTTCCCTATAGCATCAGCTGGCCCGGAGTTTGCTATGTAGACCAGCCTGGCCTTGATCTCACAGAGATCTGCCTACCTCTGCTTCTCAAGTGCTGGGATACAATACAATTTTAAACATTATCTGGTAACTTTTCTCTCTGCTGATTCTCACTTCCTATAGTCTCTAAAACATAGTCATATTTTACACATAGGGCCTTCCACACTTTGAAGACATACTTTTCCTTAATAGCACAATTACAGTAAGATTTGTATGATTCTTAAATGTCTCCACTGTGGTGTTGGGGATTGAACACAAGATTTGTGCTTGTCTACCCCTGAGCTGTATTTTGAGCTCTTTTTAATTTTTTCCCCTATAGGCATTTGTACATGCTAGGCAAGCATGTCTGTCTCTTTTTTGAGAAAGTTATTTATTTTTATTTTATGTATGTGGACTGTTTGCATATATGTAAGTGCACCATGTGCGTACAATGCCCACAGAGGTCAGAAGAGGGCATTGGAGATCCTAGAGCTGGAGTTACAATCTATCATTGGAAACTGAACCTAAGTCCTCTGCAAGAGCATCCAGTGCTCTTAACCACTGAGCCATCTCACAGCCTTTGGGTGTCTCTTTTGATGGACTGAACTCTACATATCCAGAGCCACACTGCCATCATTTACAGTAGAGCATATAAATAATAAATATGTGGAGAAAGCTAAGGGTGTAGCTCAGTGGTGCCGAATTTGTCTATCATGTGTAAAGCATAAGGCTTGATCACCAGCACTGCAAAAGGAAAACAACAGAAAGCAAATGTGTGGAGTTTGTGACAGTTTTAAGATCTGAGCCCATTTGATGCCAATGTTTGTTTTCAAATTTCAAATATTTAATATTGTAAGTGTCAGAGAATATCATGACACAAAAATGTCAGTCATTTACACAAAGCATCCTTATAACTTAAGAGGGACAAATTATATATATATATATATTTGAGACATAGTCTCATAGCCTAGTTAGCCTAGAACTCACTATGTAGACCAGGCTAGCCTCAAAACTCACAGAGATCCACCTGCGTTTGCATGCACCATCACACTCAGCAGTATGTAATATTGTGTGTAATCTATCAAGCAGTCATTTGTATTATTTATATCTTGGCTACCAGGAAAGGGTTTTTGCCTGAATTTCTTCATGGATTTATTTCTACCAGTAAGAATAATGTCTGGCACGGGACCATACATTGAATAAATGTATGATACAAGGCAATAATAGGGAAAGCAATTAAGACATATAGACACCTTACTTGAAAAGTGTTGGATGTCAGATAAGCACCTGAAAAGATTCTCAACTTCATTATTCGTTAGAAAAATGCAAATTAAAACCATAAGGAGATATTACTTAGGATAGCACTTAGAATAACTAAAATAAAAATATTTGAGAGTATCTTGATGAGGATGAAGCAACTAGAACATGCTACCGATGGGATGATCCACTTTGCCACCTATGTAGCCAGGTCAACCCCAGAGTTCTGTGTAAATTTAAGAGAGTGATGGGCTGGAGAGATGGTTCAGTGGTTAAGAGCACTGGCTGCTCTCGCAGTGGACAGGGGCTCAAGTCCAAACACTCACATGGTGGCTAACAGCTCTCTGCAAATCTGGTTCCAAGGGATCCAACAGCCTCTTCTGACTCTATGGGCATTGCATAACACTAATGCACTTACACACATGCAGGCAATATATCCATACACATAAAATAAAAAAGGAAAGTGGTATTGCTCACAGCATCCTTGACCTTATCATGTGAAAACAAAGAGGGTACACTGATAAATTGTTATGTTTCTCCAGGGAGAGTCACACCAGGGCAACTCATGACATATATTCAGCTCTTCAAGAACAACCTCAAAGCTCTAAGGAATCATTGTGGGCTCCTACAGCTTGGGCTGGCCACAGTTCAAACTCTGAAGCACCAACAGACTGCCAAGTGGGATAACTTTCTGGCATTTGAGAGACTCCTTCTACAGGTATGCGGCTGTGGGAGCTTGTATAGATGTTAATAATTAAAGTTTTGACTTCTAGGGAAAACTTTGATATTTATTATAATCTTAGTGATCAATCATACTGTTACCATGTGTGTTGAATCAAATCCTCTAAGTGCCAAACAGTTAAAATTCAAATAGAAAATTTTCACATCTACTAAAAAAATTTTTATAACATTTGTGTCTTTGGCTTCTCAATCCTAAGAAGGTATTTTTGAGCATTTGAATAACTTTTGAAAAATCTCTTCAATTTTATGCTATTTGGACCTTTCTAGATCTTCATAGTCTTTATTCAGTTCTTACGACTTTTCCTGTAAGATAGCACTGCTAAAACTGGAGAGATGGCTCCTCACTTAAGATCACGGACTGCTCTTCTAGAGGACCCAGGTTCATTTGGTTTCCAGCTTCCACATGGTGGCTAACAACCTCTAACTCTAGTTCCAAGGATCCATTGCCCTCTTCTGGCCTCTACAGGCATTGCATGACATGGGTGCAGTTAACATACATTCAGATACAGTCATATACATAAAATAAAAATAAATTTAAAAAGATATTCCTGTTTTTACTTCTTTTGACACTACCTAGTCTGTAATCCTTAAACAAGATAGAGCACATGCCTTAAAATGATGCTCAGATAAAGGGAGGTGAGTTGTATTTGTAGTGTTTAGGCATAGATTTGTGTGTAGGGGAAGAAATTTTCATGGTTTATGAAATATCTTCATAGGAAACTTTTAAACTATGTATTTTATAAGTATAAGTTATAAATCAATTAAACATCATAATGTATTTTTAAAATTTTATTTATTATTTTTATTTTATGTGTATTCATGTATTGCCTGCATGTAGGTACATGTACCTGTGTCGTGCAGTGCCCGTGGAGGTCAGAAGAGGCTGTTGGATCCCCTGGGACTGGACTTATGAACAGTTGTTAGCTGCCATGTGGGTGCTAGGAATTGAACCCAGTTCCTCTGCAAGAGCAGCCAGTCCTCTTAACTTCTGAGTCGTCTCTTCAGCCCCCATGAATATATTGTTTTGTATTTCCACTAAAAAGTACCTTTTATTTTGAGATTTGACTTTTGAATCCACTGGAATTTGTTTTCATTCATGGCCTGATTAGGATCTAATTTTCCTTTCTTCTCTGTGGCTAGCCAGTTCTCTGTATGCTATTTATGGACTGTTGCACTGTACATATACTAGCATTCACTTTTATTTCATGGAGACTGGAGCTCTAACATCATTTACTCCTCTTGTGTTGCAGGAGTATCTTTTCCCACATGGCTGCAACAAATCCCGAATGATCTCAGATGTGTCTATAAAAGAAATTTAAATTTTTTAACATTTTATTTATTTTATGTGTATGCGTGTATTGCCTGCATGTAGGTAAGTGCACACATGTTGTGCAATGCCCGCGGAGGTCAGAAGAGGCTGTCAGATCCCCTGGGACTGGAGTTATGGACAGTTGTTAGCTGTCATGTGAGTGCTGGGATTCAAACCCGGGTCTTCTGCAAGAATAGCCAGTGTTCATAACCACTGGGCCATCTCTCCAGCCCCAAGAAATTAAATTTTATAATGGATATTTTGAAGATTTTAAATGGTAATCTGAATTTGAATTAAAAAATGAGTTTTTTACTTGTTTCTTGCTGGCCTAGAGAGTAGCTCAACTTAGAATATTTATCATGTGCCCAATAATCTTGTTGCCTTGTTTCTTGCTGTTAGATCTCCAGTGTTGGCAAGAATCTATGTGAACAGGAACAGCTTTGCTTCTTTCTTTCCACTTTTGTTACAACTTTATTTTACAGTGTGTTGGCCTGGGATACTAGGCTGCTGTTCAGTAGAGGTAATGAGAGACATTTTCATCTTATCCTGGGTTTGAATGAAACTATCCCCAGTTCTGCCATTAGAAACTGTGTTTGATGGGGTTTTATTGTGTTTTTAAGCAATCTTAGTTTGGTGGGTTTTTGTGTCTAAATCATGTATTAGTGTTCAATTTTATTGAATGCAGATCTGAACTTTTTAGATGATTATTTCATTTTCTTCCCATAGCTTGTTAATGCGATGAATTGTATTTATAAATATTCTAATGTTAAATAGTCATTGTTGTATTCCTTGGATAACTTCAGCTTTGTCTTACACACACACACACACACACACACACACACTCACACTCACACACTTCAGCTTTGTCTTACATACACACATGCACACATGAACACACACATACATGAGCACATTCTGCTAGTTCTGTTTGCTAATACTTCCTTAGTTGTTCGCATTTATGATCATAGGTGAAATCAACACTATTTTGTGCTGCTATTTGTATGGTTTTGACAAAAGATTTTAGTAGTTTGTTAAAATCAATGTGAATTTAATTTTTTTGTAACCTCTTGAATTACTGAAAGAAATCAATCAATTGCTTGAGAGTAAAACTTGTCTGAAGAATTATCTGGACTATTACTTTGTTGTTGTTAGTATCTATAATATTATAAATAATCATTCATTATTGGGTGATTTAAAACTATAATTTCTTTAATCTCACATGGACTTATCCCTGATAGAGGTGTATAAGATGTCACATAATAACTGGACTCACCAATTACCCTTTATATTTTTCCTCTATTTTTATTACTATTAAAACCTTGAGTCCATACTAATATACATTGTTGTGTCGTAGGGTTCATTCTAGTGTTCTCTCTTTCTGTGATTGTGCCTTCCTTGTCGGTTCCTCCCTCCATGTATGTAGTTGCTTAATAAATTCCCCTGCTTGTAATCAGGTTTCTATTAGTGCTACTTCCCACTCTCATAGATGCCTTCTTCTTGCCTGAGTTTTCCTGTTCCAGGCAATGGTCAGTCCCACAGAGATGTTCTTTGTCACTCATGCCTAGATGTCCCATTGATACCTCCCCACTGAGCATTCTCCTCAGTTTGCTGAAGCTTAGACATCTCTCACTGTGCTGGCCCTGTCTCTGCCTGCCACACAGGTGTCCTCTTTTCTTCCTTGCTGTGCAGCCTCTGATACTTCATACCAAGCTGCTACCATTGCCACTGCCCTGGATGAGATGTCCTTACCTGCTCAGGCTCTGACACTCGGTCTTTGGATTTTGTGTACACCCCTCCCCTCAACCTCCACCCAGATCACTTTTGATTCCTGTAGCCCAAGTATGGCTGCTGCTGCCTCCTTTACTCCCTCTGAACCTTCCTTCACCCCCAAATGTCCTCTTCACCATTGTGGTTACTTATGGGGATACCTTCCTTCCCTTGCTCATGTTCTAATCCCCTGTACTGGGGCCTCCCTGTTTCCATCTACCATGCAGACCCTGCACCCCCTATATAAGAACAACTCTTGGCCAACCCCTGTGCCCAGATGACTTCCTTGGGTGCTGTGGTTCTAGGCGTTTTGATCAAATCCATGCCCACTCCCTCCCCTCCAACATTCCCCCCTCTGTAGAGGTAACCCTAAAATCTTTTAAGGATTAGATACAAGCTCCCAAATACTTTTGACGTTTTTGGCTTTTGGAACAGAGTATCTTGCT